AGCTGAGTGATCAGTGGAGACACTATGATCAATGCCTAAAAGAGTAGACAGTGTAGCACGCTGTAAACGAGAGAAAACCTCAAGCAGTGATGGAAGATTAGAACCACCCAAAATCTAAGAACGAATAGCCTCATATTCAGGTTTCAAGCCTACCAAAAATTTAATAACATTTAGGTCCTCATGTTGCTTCTGCCAAACTGCTGCATCAGTAGTAAACGGATGGTAGATCTTCATCTCCTTACAGACTCTCCGAACATGAGAGTAATAATTCGCAAGACTCAAAGTACCCTGCTCCAATCGGAATTACTCCTTGCATACCTCATATGTACGGATAAAATTACCTATACCAGAATACATGGTGGCCAAGTGATCCTATATCTCCTTGGCAGTGTCAAGGTAGAACTAATACTAGACTCAATGCTATTCAACAGTAAGGAAATGATCTGAGCATCCTCTTGTTCCCACTGATCATATCCATGAGTAGTTTCCTCGGATTTAGGATTCACCAAATATTTCTTAAATTCTTTGCCACGAAGAAAGACTTGAGCAGACTAGGACCATAAAGTATAATTGGTCCCATTAAGTTTAACGGAGGTCATGGGACCATTGATAATAGTTGGAGGGATAGAGGTGGGTGGTAAAGCTAGAGTAAGGGACCTGGTATTCTGCTTGGGTTCCATAGCAGTGCAGCAAATAGTAAACAGGGGGTCCTATAATGCTAGAACACAAAAACGGACAGAACTGGACTGGCTAAGCCTGCTGGAGGGCTGAACCGGACCACTTGAGGCTGCTAGAAGACTGAACCGGACCCAAAAGCCTACTGGAAGGCTGAACTGGACCTCAAAAGTCTGCTGGAAGGCTGAACCGGACCCAAGAAGCCTGTTGGAAGGCTGAACTGGGCAGAATAGGTGCACTGGACCGATGAACCGGAGTGAAAGATGACTGAACCGGTGCAAAACCTAACTGAACCAGGTCACAGGAGGTTACTGGACCGCTGAACTAGAGTCACCACTGACTGAACCAGTTTGAATCGGTCTAAGGTTAACTAAACCAGACTTTGGATATATTTTTTTTTATCCAGACCTTGTCTTCTTCACAATTAGGGTTTCAGTAGCCCTAATTTTTGACTGTGTCTCAACCACCACAGCGAACGACTGCGCCTCAGCCACCACAACGAGGTAATTTTCGACTGCGTCTTAACCACTNCATGAGTAGTTTCCTCGGATTTAGGATTCACCAAATATTTCTTAAATTCTTTGCCACGAAGAAAGACTTGAGCAGACTAGGACCATAAAGTATAATTGGTCCCATTAAGTTTAACGAAGGTCATGGGACCATTGATAGTAGTCGGAGGGATAGAGGTGGGTGGTAAAGCTAGAGTAAGGGACCTGGTATTCTGCTTGGGTTCCATAGCAGTGCAGCAAATAGTAAACAGGGGGTCCTATAATGCTAGAACACAAAAACGGACAGAACTGGACTGGCTAAGCCTGCTGGAGGGCTGAACCGGACCACTTGAGGCTGCTAGAAGACTGAACCGGACCCAAAAGCCTACTGGAAGGCTGAACTGGACCTCAAAAGTCTGCTGGAAGGCTGAACCGGACCCAAGAAGCCTGTTGGAAGGCTGAACTGGGCAGAATAGGTGCACTGGACCGATGAACCGGAGTGAAAGATGACTGAACCGGTGCAAAACCTAACTGAACCAGGTCACAGGAGGTTACTGGACCGCTGAACTAGAGTCACCACTGACTGAACCAGTTTGAATCGGTCTAAGGTTAACTAAACCAGACTTTGGATATATTTTTTTTTATCCAGACCTTGTCTTCTTCACAATTAGGGTTTCAGTAGCCCTAATTTTTGACTGTGTCTCAACCACCACAGCGAACGACTGCGCCTCAGCCACCACAACGAGGTAATTTTCGACTGCGTCTTAACCACTATAGCGAACGATCGACTGCGCCTCAACCACCCCAGCGAGCGACTGCGCCTCAGCCACCATAGCGAGCGACCACGATGATCAGACAGACCACCACAACTACACCACCACCATCAACAACAATAGATGATCAACAGTGCCACACCACCACCAACAACGACAAATAGTACACCACTAGCAACGATCAACAACACACAACCACAACAACAAATGTATCACCAACCACCACCACTGTAGCTTCTACGATCAACAGTATCATCACCACAGATTAAGTTAATTTATCCAAAATATATTTAAGATTAAACCATGCTCTGATACATGTTAAGTGTAAAGGATTAACACAATATATTGAAGAGGAACAAAGAGAGGTCAAAAGCTTGACCTAGTTCTCATATATCATTGTATTTATAGTTAACTTACAATAATAAGAATTACACATACTACCCTACTACTATTAACAATTTACACATACTACCCTAATACTCTTAACACTCCCCCTCAAGCCGAACTATATATATCATATAATCCAAGCTTGAAATAAATCGCCATAAGACGTGTGCGGCTCAATACTTTGGTAAACATATCTGCAAGTTGATCTTCAGATTTCACAAATGGAGTTGTAATCTCCCCAGCCACTATTTTGTCCCAAATAAAGTGACAATCAACCTCAATATGTTTAGTTCTCTCGTGAAACACTGGATTGACAGCGATATGAATAGCTGCCTGGTTGTCACAGAACAACTGTAAAGGAGGTTGAACTGGAAATCCAATTTCCTGGAGGAAGTGTAGCAGCCAAGTCAACTTACTCGTCGTATGCGACATTGCCCTATACTCAGTCTCAGCACTGGATCTTGCTACCACAGATTGTTTCTTACTTTTCCATGAGACAACGTTACCTCCTAAGAAAGTACAATAACCAGTGGTTGATCTC